TTCGAAAAATTTTTGTCGTAGAACAGCGACACCAAAATAAAGTAAGAGATTAATAATAATAATTATTAATTAAGAATTAACTAACAATTTACGAGAGGTGAATAAACGATCTTGCTGATCGAGAATAAAGTGAAGTGAACTACTTTTACAATAAATGCTTTATGTAATAGTATACCTACAACTTTTACATGATCGTAAATGGAAAAAAATACCAATATCGGTAGAAAAAATTTAAAACATTTTTTGTTGTAGATTAGTAGCACCAAATGTTGAGAAATACGTCACTCTGTGCCCCTTTTTCAAAAGTTCGATAGTTGTTGTTGAGTAATAGAATGGAATTTTACGGAAGTAAAAATAAAACGAATTTAACAAATGTTATACTCCATATGGCGAAGAAGAATAATTTACTGACCAGTGTAATTTAGCTTATGTAATAACCTCTTGCAAATGTTGTTACAAATATTTTGGGTATTTTATTTATAATAGCTACAATCTGACAAAAAATTAAAGTACAAAAATTTGACAAAACAAAAACCATTTTTACAGGTAAACATACACTATAAAAAATATCCACACTTCAGGAATAATGAAATTTTGGATTACATTCTCAGTGATGTGTTGTTATCTATGTTATATTTTACTTTAGTGCACATGTTAGAATACTATTAAAATTATTAAAATTTTTCTAAATTTAAGAACAGTATTAATAGTTTACAACTTATGAAACAGCGATATAACTGTACATAATTTTGTGTATTCGTTTTAGCCCTTTAAAAAATAAATTAATTTTGTTATAATCTTGACGGCTTCAACTAAAAATCTTGAAATCTGTTGCAATTTTTCTTTTTTTCTCAAATTTGGTTTCTATCATATTGTTGTTATTGTTGGCTTAAAAATTTACATATGTTTTCAGTATTTGCTTAAAATATTGTTTTTAAACCTGTTGCCGTAATGCAAAATTGTTAACGATTTTGTGCAACGCTTTTTGAATATTCTGAATTTACAATTTTTCCGAAAAAGTAGCTGACCTCATAAAAGTGTAAATGAAATTTTGTAGATTGTAAAAACTTGAGACTGAATCATAGAGACTTTCCAGACTCTCTTTCCGATAATAAGAATTTAAATCGTTATTGATGCTTTTTTATGTTGAGTATCTAAGTTCTCGGGAAATAAGTAGGTAATCTGTCAGTATTTTAATAGGTCCGTTTTATTAGTCTCTTTGATGAATTTTTATTATAATTTATTAATGCAGCACAAAGTATTCTTGAAAAATATTCACTTCTGTAAAATGTTTTATTATTTGATCTACGTTTTTTCAGGTAATAAGTATTAATTTCACAGTTTAATTTATTTTAATTTTCTATTGCCTCGTGTCCCTCATAAGTGTTCTGTGTTTATTGCTGCAGTTATTTACCCTGAAAGAATTCTGCATTTTAAAAATGTTAATAAGCCGCATTTATAATTCTTGCGTTTATCGTTATGTTTTTGCTTCTTTCAGTGTCCAAAGATTATAATTGCGGCTGGATAATCAGCCGTGACGATCTGAGTTAAAGATTCGCCATGTGTAATTAAAGTAAATGGTGGAGCAACCAAGCATAGAGATCACAATCTGAAACGGACTACAAGATTTGTTTTCGGAACCACTTTGTGTTACGCTTCCTGGAATCTTATTTCAAGTTTTGACAGTTGCAAAGGACTAGACTATAATACAGTACGATTGTATTCAGTGTTCTTTATTCTTTAAAGTTACCACTAATTAAATTTAAAGTTTTTAAGCCGTCGACAGTTAATTATTATCTAAGATGGATTAATTTACGATCAGATGGCTCCAAACCAAGAGGTGTGACTTGTTTCTTCTGACTTTCCATTTTTATACAGTTTTAAATCAGATTGTCCATTTTTGTTTAAGATAAAAATGTTGGTAAATGATATCTGATTTTGAACTTTCACTATTTTTAAGATGCTTCTTATGTTTCACGAAGAACAATGCCGAAATGTAAGATATTTTGAACAAACAAAGATCGTTGCAGTACATTTTATATGTGATTTTCACAAATTCATAAAAAATTGAGATGAACGTAAAACGTCAACATAATTTTTAATATAATATTATTATCAGTAGAATTCAGCTTCTGAAAGAATAAAATTACTAATAATTATATTATTAGTTCAAAATTGAAAGGTCTGTTAAGTATAAGTATTATATCATATTCATAACCATGCACAGAAATGAGTATAAGAGTGTAAGAAAGAAAGAGACTTTTCTGATGCTTGTGCCTCTGTTCTGCAGAAAATACAATGTAACGTTTCAAAAATAGCAGTTAGTAACTGCTGACTTTTCTTAGATGACTGTATCTTCACAATTAGCAGATTTATTTGACACTTGAGAAAGGTTTCCCGTTATGTATGCTAGAAATGTGTGGTTTATATTGAAGAACTTAATAACATACGGTTTAATTACAACGTTTAAAGTAACTGTTTTTACACTGTTCAAAATATTGAAAAAATGATATTCAAAATTGGATCCACATATGGTAGGTACCTATTTTAATTATTTATTATTTGTAATGTATGTCATATATTATTTTAAATATCATTAATATCGTCATCAGAATAAAACATGAGATGGGCCACCCACAATATTCGTCCCCTAATTGATACTTTTTTGTGAAAAAAAAAATTTTTTTAGGTAAATAGTAAGACTAATCAGTAGTCACTAATCAGTTTTAAAAAATAATGAGACGTAAACTTCGGTGATCTGAAGATATTAAACTGGTGGTTACCATCTCATGACGTTATTAATAATTGATTATCAAAGATTCGGACATTTGGTTCGATCAGCAATTGGTCTTTGATCTTCATATTGATTTTATCAAGAATTCTGCTCTGAAGCTTCTCGGATTTATTATTCATTCTTGTCGAAGTTTCACTGATATAACCAAAAACTATAAATAGGCCATAACCAAATTCTTAACCCTGCTCTTGAAGATGCCACTTACGAAAGTGTGCGAAACGTTGAGCTCAAAATTAACACGGTTCCAACCCGGAGAACGATCATGTACTGATATAAATTGTTTTATCACCTTATTTTTTGCGCTTATCAGATCCCGTTTAGAGGATGGTGCTATAGTTTGGTCGCCACTCAATAATAAATATATTGTTAATATTGAATCTGTATATTATAGGTTCAATTATAATTCGTTGCACAACAGAATCAATTGCCCACAGCTATTATCTAAATTTCTGTGTCCCCACTGTTCAATTGAGATCTATTCAGTATTTTTATAGCCCTAAGCCGAATACAAATGTTATAACTATATTTAACAGCTGTCGTATTGTTAACTTCTGTTCTGATTATTGTGATATTTATGCAATGTCTCTCTCACGTATTATTGCTATTGTGATTGATAAGTACCATTTGCTTCCTCATGGCTAATTTCGCTGTAGGTATCTACTGATATTTGTCCTATGGATGGATATCAGATTGTGATGCTAATACCAAAATTTGGGTCAGTTGTCGTTGTATGAGCTTCTGATATACGGGATATACCAGTATACCACTATTTACCTACACGCAAGATTTCAGTTTCTAATTAATTACTAATTAATTAATTATTTCATAATCTTCACGTTTCTCTTTAAAGCTGGCTTATAATTGGGTTCCTGTTAGCCAGCTCAATAGCCATTTAGTCCCATAGCTTTGAGATGCGTCTCCATTTCCTTCGTTTTTTGCGTTCTTCCACCAGTCCTGTATTTATTTTTCTGCTAGGTCTTCCTCTATCGCTTCTTTCCACTTTTTCCTTGGTCTGTTTCTTTTCCTTTTGTCTTCCGGAATTTTCCACGCCACCATGTGAACTTCGCTTTCTTGGGTCATTCTTTGTAGATGTCCTAACCATTGCAATTTTTTTATTTTTATGAAATTGTTTACAACTGTGTCACCATATATTTCTTCATTAGTTCTTCTTTCCCATCCTTCTTCTGTTTGTTTCCCTCATTTTATTTGTCATAATCCATGTCTCGCACGCGTATGTTAGGGTTGATCTCACTATGGTTTTATATCTTTTGAGTTCTTGGTATTTCTTTACTTTTCATAATTTTTCTTAATCCTTCTGCACAATTGTTATTTTTAGCAATTCTCAGTTCTATTTCTTTGTCTTCTTAGCATTTGTTGATTATCAACACCCCTTAGTACATAAATATTTCTACTTCTTCAAATTCTACAATTCTTATTCCTTTTTGGCTGTCTATTTGTAGGTTTTTTGTGTTTCTACACTCACAGTTATTCTTTAGTTCCATATATTTTGTTTTGAACTCTAAACTTACCTCTTCTGCTTGTCTCATTAGCTTTGCTGTTATCCTTTCTAATTCCTTTCTGTTCCTCACAAGTAGGACTAAATCGTCTGCGTAGGCTAGACATTGATGGCTTCTGTTGAATAGTAGACCCTTCCTGTTTATATTACTTTTCCTTCTAATACTCTCTAGAACCAGATTGAATAGCGTTGTTGACAACGGATCACCTTGTCTGAGTCCTTGTTTAACATTGAAACTGTCGCTAGTTTTTCCTTTTACTTTTACTCTGCTTATTGTGTTTTTCAATGCCATTTTTATTAGATTTATTAGTTTTTCGGGAATATCTAGTTCTCTCAATATGTTTATTAACTTCGTCCTGTTCACCGTATTGTAAGCTCTTTTGAAGTCCACGAAGAGTTAATGAGTAGGAATTTCCTATTCGTAGTTTACTACCAAAGTTTGTTTCAACAGAAATATTTGATCGATTGTCCCTCTTGGTTTTCTAAAGCCTCCTTGATATTCTCCTAGAGCTTTTTCCACATATCCTCTAATTTGCTTTATTACCAGCTGGATATCGTCTTTCAGTTTTTCACCTTCATATTTTAGGTTTTCTTTTGTAATTCCATTTCCCCCTGGGCTTTTGTTGTTACTCATCTGATTTATGATCTCCTCTATCTTTTCTCTTGTTGGCATTGCTAAACTTTCATTACTTAAAGTTCTTTTTTTGGTACTGGTTTTTGTTCTTCTCTGATTTCGATATTTAATATTTGTTCGAAGTACTGTTTCCATCTTCTTAATTTTCCTTCATCGTCGCCTATTAAGTTGCTTATATCTTTTATATATTGCGTAGATTCGTATTTTGTTGACTTTACGTTTTGTATGTCTTTATAAAAGTTTCTTATCTGTTTCGTTTGGCATGCTACCTCTATAGTTTTTATTTGTCTTTCTAAAAAATCCCTTTTTTCCTGCGACATAAGTATTTTGCTTAACTATCTTTCTTTGACTGTTATAATTCCTTGTATTTGGTTTGTTTCTTATCTGCACCATTTTCATTTTGAGTAACTTTTAAGTTTTATTTCTGTTTCACATTCTTTTCTAGCCATTCTTTCCTTTCTCTTGCTTTTGTTTTATTCATATGTCTTTCTGTTGCTTCTGTTACTATTCGTTCTATATTGTTCGATTTCGTATTTATACTTTTTTCTATTGAAAGATCTTGTTTTTCAAGGTTTCTTTCTATGTCTGCTTCATATTTTGTTTTGATTTCTTGTGGTTGCAATTCTTCTGTATTATACCTTACTTAGTAATTCCTCCTGTATTCTTTGTCTTCCCCTTTCCATTGCTTTAGCTTTGCTCTTGCCAAAAAGTGGTTTGAATTTGTGTCGGTCCCTCGTTTTCACTGATGTTATTAACCTAGAGTGTTTTTCTTGAATCAGTAGATACGTGATCAATCTGGTATGTTTCTTGTCTTCCTGGAATGATTCATTTTCCCTTGTGTATATCTTCTCGTTGAAATTGCATATTTACTATTTTTATATTTCTTTCTATAGACCATTATTGTTTGATCCTTCATGCTTGCTGTGTTTTCCTACTATATCTTTATATATTTCTTCTCTCCCTACTTTTGCATTTGCATCTCCCATTATAATTATGATATTTCTTTTTGGTATTTTGTCGAAAATTCTGTTCATTTCTTCATAGAATGATCCTTTACATCATCTTCTTTTTCTTCTGTCGGTGCATGTATATTTAGAACGAATAGATTTTGGTTTTGTCCTTTTACCCTTATGCCACAGATTCTATCTGATATTTGCATAAAGTCTATTATTTTTTCCCACTATAAAACCTGTCCCGAACTGTCTGGTTGTGCTTCCACTTTTAAACAGATTCTACTTGTCAATTTTTTGTATTCCGCTACCTACCAGATGTGCTTATTGTAAAGCTATGAATTCTATTTTATATCTTTTAATTTCTTTAATAAGGTTTTTGATAGCTCCTTCTTCATAAGTACCCCTTGCATTCCATGTGCCTATAAGTATAATATTTTGTTTTGGTTTCACTCTTCTCTTCTTTTCTTTTTTTGCTTGTTACCATATTCATTGCCTGGTCCATTTCCTTGGTTGCTGACTTGAGTGTTTTCATTCTTTGGTTTTTTTGTTTTTAAGCTGCTTCGTTTTTATCAGGTTTACTTTTGTATTTCTCTATCTTTTTTCGATAAATCATCTTGAATAAATATCTTTTCCCTGTTTTCGTACTTGATTTGTTTTTGTTGATTTTTCTGTTTTCTTCTTCTGGTTTCTTATTTTCCGCTCTAAGCTCTTGCATTTCTTCCCTGTATTCTCTTTGTTCCTTTCTCGTTTTTTTTTTTTTTTAATTTCAGTGAACATTTCGTTTATTGTGTTACCCATGCTTTGTATCATTTTCATTAACTCTTCTATGTTGTCTTCTAGTTTACGTTGATTCCTTAATGGCGAATTCCCCGTTTTTTTTACTTTTTTTTTATATCTCTTCCTCATCAGATTCGTCTTCCTCTTTGTCGCTCTTCCTCTTCCTGTTATTTTCTTCGTCCCCCATTTCTCTTAATTATTCCAAGTCCAATTCTATTCTTTATCTTATTGAGAGAGTGAAAAATTTCGGCCGGTCGACCCGTCGGTCCTTGGTTTTTTCAGCGCGTTCCGACATTTACTATTTTCTTCGGTTTATTCGTGGTTATTGTTATTTGCGTTGGAGGCCCTTTCCGGGTATTCTCTTGCACTTTACCCACACGACTATGTTTACTGATTGTTTTTCTTGCTCGTAATTCTCCAAAAATTTGAAGTTTGTTACGAAGCAAAAATCAGCTACACCTTGTATCTCTGATATCTGTCCTATGGATGGATATGAGGTTGTAATGCTAACACCAAAATTTGGGTCAGTTGTCGTTGTATGAGCTTCTGATATACCACCATTTACTCCTCTATGTAAAGGTTACGAGGTGCTAAGCAAAGAAGTAGGCTGAGCCTTCGGTTCCACCATGGTGTACTTTTGCCCGGGCCTTCCTTCATTACGGGGCAACTTTTCTCGTAAGCTGACATTAGAGAGTCGTTGACAATGGCCAAAGTTTTCTCTATCTCTGCTGTCTGGATGAAATTTATTTATTGTAGCGCCATCTCTGCAATCAAAAATCTCATTCCTATCTTAGTAGACACGAGGCTTATGTCTCAGGCGGGCCCGCCCCCACTGATAGAGGTTGGTAGACACAGCAAAACTTGAATAAAGCTTTTGAGTGATTTTGGTACTAATGTGGAAATGGGAGAACTGAACTATGATTAGTTTTTTGTATTGAATATATAAAAAAAACGCAATAATTACAAATACAAATTTTAATCCTCACTTTTATGGATTCAATCCCTACATTGTAAAAAAATGTAATTTTACCGTACGTAAATGTAATAATTACCCATATACCTTAATTTTTAGGTAAAATAAAATTTCACCTCAAAACGAAGATAAAATCACAGGTGAAATTTTATTTAACTCAAAATTAATGTAAAATCACTTCTTTAATATGGATAATTATTACATTTATGTATGTACGGTAAAATTACATCTTTTTACTCTTGTTAAGTTATGAAGTTAACATTATAAAAAAAATAATCTAAATGGCTCAGCATATCTACAGGATGCTGAAAAAATGGCGTACCAATTCAGCGGTACATTATTAAGTTCAAAAGTCTAAGTTTGGGAAAAAACATTAAAAAATTCCTTACGTCAATCTGATGTTCACCTACAGAAACAAAATATCAGATTAGACCCATAAATCAAAAAAGTCTAAAGATTAGCTACACTTTTCCAATTCATCCTCCTAAACAATGTTTAAGTTTCTGTTATATTATAAAATGAAGAAAACTGTGGATGAAAATAAGATACATCGAAAATTATTTTGAATAATGGAAGTCTAATTGATTTCATGTATCCAACATTAAATGGAGAACTAGGATATGGTGAAATAGTGAAAATGAAAGTTAAATTTTAAGGGGCTATATTTTCTACATTTGGGCCCAAGATTTTTTAAATTATCTTTTCTCTGTTCTATAAACAGTCCTCAACAACGTGTCATAAAGTGGGTACGCCATTTTTTCAGCACCCTGTATATCTATTTTTTGGATATCAATGACCGTGGGGGCAATAAAGATGGCACAGATGACCAAGATGATAGTAAGGACAATGATGAAAATGTAGATGCCGTAAGCAGGAACCCTGTAGTGCTAAACATCACGGGAAGTATATTTCGATTTTATTTTAACGAGAATAAAGGAAATTCTGTAAAATAAACTGTCGTAACGAGAAAAATAAGAGCTACAAAGAGAAATTTTTGCCTAATTGTGAAGTTAAGCACTTGTTTGGGGTTTATCGTGGTTAATACTTTTGCGGAATTCAATAAAAAAAATCATGCAATAGTTAACACTTTAAACGGCTTACCTGAATTGTAAGTTGCATAACCGAAAAATGATTTGTGTTTAAATATACCGAGTGACAAAAGTAAAAGAGTACGAACAAGGAACAAGGAACAATGACTTTGTAATGAAGCTTTTTATAAAGATTGTCCAACAGAATTGATTAGGATTTTATTAACATCTGCTCAGTAGTTTTAAGAAAAAAAAGTGATTTTCCTGTATATTGAAGAATTACAAGTACATTTCCTGATACGTGATGGCCTAATGCGACCACTCATGTTTTTTGGGGTATTTCATTCTATATAAATATGTATATTTTATATAACCTACCTTTAGTGCGGAAGTCTTTTTAGACTCTGTGGAGAACGGAGTAAATTCCGTAGCCTCCTGCCTATCATATTCCAAACATTTTTTATTCAGAATGGGTCAGGAGATCTTGGAGGACTAAGAAGAAGATTGATTTCAGCTTCTTTAACATGGTCTAGAGTGGTCCAATACACAAGAAAAAAATCTTTAAAACTACTGGCACATAACATTGAAAATATAATGAATTCTTAGTTTGAGAATCTATAGCCTGTATATAAAATTTCCTTACAAATTAATGTTGCTTTTCAGTGTCCTTTTACTTTTGTCACTCAGATTATATTTGATTGAATCTAGTAGTTCGGTATATGAGCTTCAAAGAGCTGCACAAAATACTGTTATTGCAGTTAACGTGATCCCAAATAATAAACTTACATGTATTCAGGGTTGGGCACTATTTGAACTACTTGTAATTGAAATACAGTATTTGAAATACAATTGTATTTTGTAATTTGTATTTCAAATACATGACACAAATGTATTTTGTATTTTGTATTTCAAATACATTTTAACTTGTATTTTTGTATTTTCAATTACTTGAAATACATTTTATCAAACTACGGCGCGCTCATTACAACAGTTTTGCGATCGTGTTAATTCGTGTATGTTCGTGTACTTCGAGAAGTAACAGTATATTCTATGGTTGTAACAGAGAACATAGAGAAGCGCCATAGTTTAAATTAAATGACGGTTGAGGACTTCGCAATTTATGTTGGCAGCAGTGTTTGGTTCTAACTAGGAATAAAATTAACTAGAAGAAATGTCACAATATTTTTAACGACGTGTTTTACTTTCGACAAATTGACACTAGATGGACATGGAATGTAACAGGGCCAACTTATAAAGATAGTGAAAGAATTCTGACAGTTAACTTTAAAATTTTTAGGAACGAGCTTCTATCAAAATTTTATTTTTGCCACTGTCCTGAACAAAATATATTTTGTATTTTTAAAAGTATTTGAAATACTATTTTGTATTTTGTATTTCAACTACAAGACATAAATGTATTTTGTAATTTGTATTTCAAATACATTAAATTGAAGTATTTTGTATTTTGTATTTCAATTACAGTAGAAAGTGTATTTTGCCCAACCCTGCATGTATTACATATAATTAAAATTATTGTGATGCACAACTAGTAACTTTTCTGGTAACATTAAGGACTGAATTGAAAAGAGACTCTGCTGATTGTAGAACGTACAGATTAATTTGTTTGAATTCACTGCTGTATGCAGAAAAGAATGCCGGATTAGGGTAATAAATTTCTTTCTTCTTGCACTTGTCATTGTTTTCCACCGGGTAATATTTATCGGTATGGCATGGTACGGCAGAAAAATAATTAATTTAACTTTGGAACCTTACTTCTCATTTATTTAGTCTAATTAAAGTGATCTCTTTGCTTAAATCAATGCCAAGGAATGGGAGATTATTACATAAAATCCAAGCTTTTATTTAATGAAATTTTTCTCTATAATAGTGGTATACCTAATCAGAATCACTTTGAATATTTCTAAACACAGACGTGAATTGGTCTAGATTGTGTGTTGTAAGTTTAATGTGTCAAGCTCCCATTTTTTAAATGTGTGTGTCTCTGTAATAAGACTTGAGTTAATAACAACTAGATATCTGACTAGACAAAAGTTATCATAAAATTTTTTTGAAAAATAACACTGACTTTTACGAACATAGCTTAATGTTAGCTAATCTAGAAACTCTGGGCTCGAGAAAAGTAAAAAGTGACATAATTTTTGGTTTTAAAGTGCTCAGGAATCGGTCAGTTTATTTCAGTTTCGAATTCCTAGGTCAGCTAGTCGTACTGAAACTTTTGTGTTAAACTTTCATAAGACAAACTATGGTATTTACTGTTGTATAATCGACAATATCTCTCGAGCAATTAACTCCCTCGATGTAAATACAGATGTTATGCAGCTATCTTTAAGTTCTTTGGTTAGAGAATTAAGAAATTAATAATTAACAAAAATAGTTTTGTTTTCATTCTTATCTTAAATCTATTAGGAATAGTTTTTTTTTTCAAATTGTCACAATTGGATGTATTCTGTTCGACAATAAATATTACTATTATTATTATTTATATTATTATTATTTCTGCTGCAAGAAAAACATAGATGGTAAAAATAGAATTCAGTTCATTTTAGGTGCCGTATATTTATTACTATTTGCACATAAATTAAAAACTGAGACTTTTATATTTACACATAATAAAATAGGAACAATATTTTAGTAAAATAATTTAAAATGTCTTAATTATTTATAAAGTTTTCCATTTGATAAAATCATGTCACTACACCGTCTTAATCCTATAATCGTGTCGAATTTACAAAAATAAAATCTTTAGGCAACTCCTTGTAAATACGACGTACTCTGTCCGTTTCTGTCAACTGATCCGTAGCTGTAACTATACGGACCCAAAGTTAAACTGGTTGCGTCTCTCTTCGGCCAGGCTTGGCTTTTATAGCTGTTACATGCAATCAAACTGTTCATAGCTGGCGGTCTACTTTTTTCGATTGAAATTCCATTTCCTACAGACCGTATGCTAGAAACAAAACAACTTAAATTAGAAAAAATAGTAAACAAATTAATTAAGGTATAATACCTCTTCACACTTTCTGTAACGCTAACTTGTTGAGATTTTCCATAGCTGGTTTCTACATCACCATTGGCCAAGAGCTTTTCGTCCTTTAACTCCACATAAGTCGGCGGTTTCTTGCTGCATATCATAAATAGGGCGACTATGAAACCGATGAACAAATGGGTACCAACAATGAACATTGATGAATTTCGAAAACCAATGTTGTCGTAGAGAATACCACTGATTGAAGGGCCTACGAAAGCTCCTAGTGCGAAAGTGCTTGTCCATAGGCCAGAAATTAAACCAAAAGTTTCTAGGTTGTTCGGAAAACCATGTGCTCTAGAAAAAGAAAAAAGCTGATTACAAATTTATTAATGCAGTTATTTGTTGTATTTACGGAATTTAACGTAAAATCTAAGGGATTTTTTTGGACTTTTCTGTTTTTGTGGGGTAATAAACGTTACAGTGCCAAACTGTTAAGTCTTCAAGAAACCATGTATAATATGTGTTATTAAACATAATAAAACTTAAATTAACGTTATCTGTTAATTAGTTTTTAATGTTCCATTTTATGCTTTGTCCCGTTTGGGGAATTTTGTACTTACATGCTGGTTCTAAGAGCATCCGTGAAAGACGCCACTAACTGAGCTGCGATCCCCAAACCATGTAGTACTAAACCAAGTATTGTTACCCATAGAATTCTACAAGAAAATTTTTGTTATTTTTAAAAGATTTGTATTAAAACTTTTGTAGTATTTTCTATGAGAAAAAGAAAATGCTTACGTTTGAGTTGGTATGAAAGGAGCCGGTCCCACCAAAGCAAACCCTGCTGCTACAAGCAAAGTGCCTAAAACTGTAATAACTTTTGGTGGACAATACTTATCACAGAGCATTCCAAATCCTGGGGCTGTCATTGCGTACGTGCCCCCGTTTATCACAAACATTAACCCCAAAATAACCGGGGCTAAATAAAATTGACGTAGATGTGGTTCTAACGTAGCTTGAAGGAATCCTATAGACATACTTGTGACAACTATGCTAGCACAGGATAAAAGAACACCAGGAATTCGGAGAGCTTTAAACATGGAAGCTGTAACAGCGGTTTGAAAATGCGTTGTTATTTTAACATCTCATTAAAATCTTACGTCCTTGTTCTCTGTCAGTACCATCTTCATGCTTCGGTAGAACTAACGCAGTTAAAATCGCGGACAAAAAGAGTGCTGAACCCATCACAGCGAAAGGTAACGTGTAACCGCCCGCTTGATATAGAGCGCCGCCTACTGTGGGACCTACGATTAAACCTAATCCAAAAAAGGTTTCCAGAGAAGCCTAGAAGTCTTTTATTAGTAATAAAAAAAATCAAGTTTTACGAAAGCTTACAAAAGTCGTTGCCACATTATCAGGAAACTCTTTAGCAATGATGGCAAAACTTGCTGTTAGAAAAGCAGCGTTACCCATTGCTTCAACAATTCTTATAATGAAGCTTAAAATAATGAAAGGGTAATGCCCATCAATCTTATCCAGGAGCCTAGAACACGCCAATTTTAGTGCTATCAAGATTAAACCTTGATAAACATACCCAAATAAAATGGCACAAATTCCGGTTGTGTATATTCCTCCATTGAAAGTTACCTTTGGCCCTATTTTGTTCAAGTGTTGCCCATATACAGGACTTATTAGAAAAACAACTAATTCGAAAATACCAAATACTAGACCATATTCTGTTGCGGAACATCCTTTGCGTTCAGCCTATAAACGGGTTTACAATGGGTAAGGAACGAAGAAGTTTAAAAATGTAAAGGAAAGGCTAAGGTCATTTGTGATAAATGTTTTAAATTTCATGCTTCGTTTATTATGGATTTACAAAATAATATATGTTCCAGGGATCATTAGATCAAGTTTAATTGATTTTAATGATTATGAAAGGGAGACTATTTTACTGACAAATATTTTTCATATTGAATTCGATGATGCAATTTGTTTTTAATAAATCTGTTTTTAAGGAAAATTTTATCAAAATGTAATATATATAGAATGAACCAAAACTTTTTTTCCTTTGAACAGATATGCTTAACTTGTTATTTAAAGCATCGTTAATTTTGAAAATGTGAATTTTTATGTTGGAATAAGAAGAAACTATAAATAAAACCAAGGACTTACTTCAGCTGGATAAAAGGGTGCTTGTAATGACACACAAATAGCATTACAGAAGTCAGCTATACTGATCACGATCAACGTCAGCCACTGTCGTTTAGTAAACTGCACCATTTTGTCTCAGTTCTTTTTTTATGCGAGAACACTCAGTTTATCAGTTTTTGGTTTTTGTACGCACAAAAACAAATTTAATGCAGGCACTAAGTTTTCGTTCACTAGACCACGCAAAAGTACGACAGTTCCATAAATATTAAATAGTTGTTGTAGAAGAACGTTCGATTTACCATATTGCTAAAAGTGACATTGTCACACTCTTCTCGAATGGAACTAACACTTTTTCAACAAGCTGAGGAATTTGAACGCAAAATTCGAATGATTTGGCTCCATCGGACACATAAAGGAGGAGTCACGTCTCGGTTCAAAGTTTACAGAGTTTATCGGTTTGCCATGATTATGATAATGATGTTTTCATTTGTTACAAAAATTATTTTCTTCGAGCTGTGTTGTGAGAGAAATATTTAATTATCCAACACAATTATCATCAGTTCTACGGTTGCTTTTTTGACTGAGGACAACTAAAAAATGAACACGAAAATTTAACTAATAACAGGATGGCACAGATAGTAATGGAAAATTCAAATAAGGTTCTCCATCTTACAAATAAGCTGTTATCAAGGAATAATATTTACGCTTTATAGACAATTATGTCTATTATAGTCAAGAAGCACAAAGTTCATTTCATTTTTATTTTATTGTTTTGCTGGATCTAAACTGATTTATCTATAAATCTTAGCAGGACTATTAATCATACTGTTCCAGTAGGTACATCAATTTGTAAATAAATGATTAAAAAAGAGGACGAGGCTAACTAAGGCAGATGATATACAACATAATGAAATTATTAATACGAATGATGATAACTAAGTACACAGTTGCATGTGATTAATTCCTAATACAAATAAAATTCTTAGGCCTAGCCGAAGAATTGGAAGTTGGAGTTTAAACTTGGTTTCTTCTTCTATTGCATTGACTTCGCCATAACAGTGTGACGAAAACTAAGATGCTAGCCACAAAAAATGCCAAGTTGATGCTGAACAAGTAAGTTATTTTGCTTATCCTCCGTTGTGCGTAGTAGACGTCAGTTTGAGAGCATTTTTTTGTTAATCCCCTAGTAAAAAGAACTTGAATTCAGGATCAAGTTAGAACTCAAATAATAATTTAACCGATATTAGTTTAGTTTGCAATTCGTTTAAAAATGTTAGCACAAAAAATAAATCTATTGGTTATCTGAGAAAGAGTGTACTAAATCAGTAATATTTATGAGCAAGGGCTGTTAAAGAATTTAAACAATTAGTTGAGACGATTGTTCGGAGTGAACTGCGGCCCTTGGTAGATAAAATTGAGTCCATGCAATCTAAAATTCGTAGTTTGACCGATATAAATACTCAACTTCGCACTGAGATTACAAAATTAACTAAAACTCTTCAAGAGTAGTGAACGGAATTTAACAGCTACTGATTTACATGCCAAAGTGTCTTATGCAGAAACAGTTGCAAAGAATGCCCAAAAATCAGTCCTAGTCAAACCTAATGACAAAAACCAAACCACCAGCAAAACTAAGTCCGATCTTCTGTCTAGTTTCGACCCCGTTGAATCCTCTGTGAACATTAGAAAGGTAAAAAATGTCAAAGGCATTTTACCTGATTGTCAAGGTCCTAAAAAATTTAAATAGCTAATCAAAAATAAACTTTCCTTAGCTTACGATATACGCGAAACTAAAACTCTGAGACCTCATATTAGAATTGGTGGCGTATTAAATGAGATCGATGAAGACAACATTTTGAATTACCTAGTAAAGCAAGTATTTTTTAGGAAGGTAATGATTATAATTTAATAAAATTTTATCCAATTAAGAATAGTAAAGGCAATAGGTACCAGGCGATAATAGAAGTTGATATACTTACTTAAAAAGGGCGGTCAGTGTTGGTAACTGCGTAATCGGGCTTGATAGTTGTTCGATATACTGCGGACTAGATGTTTTAATTGTAATGGGTTTAATCATTCCTCTAAAGTCTGTAAGAGCAATTTAACATGTCCCCGCTATTCAGAAAGTCATGATCCAAAAGAGTGTTAGGCTGAAACTCTCAACTGCATAAATTGTCTTAACCTGAAATCTACCGGTAAATTCGAGGATATTAGGGTTGATCATGCTACCTGGGATCATAATAACTGCCACGCTCATATTTTAGCTAATAAAAAACTTAAAAATGACCTTTTTGGCATCTCAATATAGCAACCAACTCTTTATGATCCCTGAGTGTTCTGACTCTCCTGAATCACATTTAAAGTCTGGTCGTGATGTAATTAATTCTTCTTGTGCTGCTTCTTCTCTTTCGACAAATAATAATTCTTTTTTCATTTCTATCCCGCATTCTTTATCCATTTATTATCAAAACACTCGTGATATCAATTCAAAATTAAATAATCTATACAATTCTTTCCTGTCTTGTAGTTTTGATATCATATGACATTTGGAAATGTTCTGCCCTTTGAATTTCAATATTCTTAGATCTGACAGGAAATTTTATAAACTAAATCTTACTAAAGGCGTTGGAGTATTAAATGCATTCCGACAAAATTTTTCGATTACTCAAATAGACGTATGCTCCCACGATTTTGACAAACTGAACTCAGTTGGCATTTTTGGTGCTAAATGTCTCTATGACCATTCATCCTTCTCTATTTTTGTAATATATGTTCAACCAAAAACAGCCATCGAAGAATTCTCATTATTGTTCAATTTATTAAGTGATCTAATACAACTAAGTACGTGATCAAGATATTTTAATCATTAAGGATTGTAATATACCAGAATATCACACAAACTTAGTAGATGTCGTTATTCGTAATAACAAACTATCTGTCTTAACTTCATTTCTAAATTGTCTCGACCTTAAACAATGTAACAGTGTAGCCAACATAAATGGTAGATACTGTTACGTTGGACGGGTGATTGAAATTGGCAACAATTTATTTCTTTACTAGAATTTACACGACTAACTATTGCAACGATTATGTACAGAAATTATTCCGGCGAATTTCACTGGACGCTCTTAATTCAACTAGTTGAATAATCCGTTCCCCAAAGGTGGACTCTATTTAAACAGTACGCGGTCCTTCTCCAAACCCCACGTCACCGCTTCTAGATTTCGCTGGAATCCCCATTCGCGACTTCCGTTTCCAGGCGTTTCTTTAGCTCTCCGTCGTTCAGTCGCATTGAGGATGTATCATCACCGGCGTAAGACCAGAGAGTTCTCGACGGCCATAGGCGTCGTACCAAGGCGGCGTAAGGAGGTATTTCGTAACAATACTTAGAGTTAGTACTCTCAAACGTACAGTGTTATATCGATAAACCGGAAGATTATCTATTACCTGAAGATACACACCACCCCTCACTGCTTATATACTTATTTGGGATATCATCAACCAAAAGTAAAGGTTATAAGTAAATGTAAATTTTCACAGAAACGCTAGAAATTTTTGTAAAGCTGACTTTCCAAATTTATATCGTCATTTAGGTGAGATAAGTTTGTCTTTCGTGATCTCACCAATTTTTAAGTAAGGGTAGAGAAATTTGATAGAGAATTACCGACCCATCTCATTGCAATTTTTCAAAGGTTTTTAAGATTCTTCATAAATTTCTCTCATTTAATACGCGCAATTGGTTAACGGAATCCCAACATGGATTTATAAGTAGTCGTACTACCGTAACGAATTTGAGTTGTTTCACCCAATTCGTAGCCAATAGTTTTGACGCTAAATAGCAGGTAGACGTAGTATATACTGATTTTTCCAGGGCGTTTGACAAACTCAACCACAGAATTCTACTGATAAAATTATGCAACTTTGGCTTCTCCGATTGTTTACTGAAATGAATGGAATCTTACCTAACTGGTAGATATCAATGCGTGAATTATCTTCCACATCAATCCGAAAAATTTTTAGTCCCGTCCGGCGTCCCACAGGGCTCTGTTCTAGGTCCCCTGCTTTTCGATATCTACATCAATGATGTTATTAAAACATTAGTTCTCAGGTTTTAAATTACGCAGACGACCTAAAAATCTTTCGTCCTATTATTAATGTTGAAGACTGTCAAATTCTTCAAGAGGATATTCACACTTTTGAAAACTGGAGTAAGTCTAACATGTTACCTATATGTTTCTAACAAATAAATGTTGTAAGCTTAGTTTCAATTACACTATTAACTTGAATATCTTATCAAGAGTGGATTCCTCCAGAGATTTTGGAATAATGTTTGATTCTAAACTCACGTTCTCTCTATATATTGGTAATATAACTGCTGAAGCGTTTAAATCTCTTGGATTTATCATCAGATAGTCCAGTTCTTTCAATAACATCACTACTTTTGATACGTTATATTGTGCTTTCGTAAGATCAAAACTTGGACATGCTAGTACATATTGTATCGGCTCCTTCAGTTGAATTTTACATTCAATCTATGGAAAAAGTCCAGAGGTGTTTTCTCAACTTTTTAGCATTCCAAATAGACCGTATTTATCCTCCTAGAGGTCTACCCCAATTTGACCTTTTAATCAGACGTATCAGAGCTTTTTTTATATATTTCTTCAAAAAACTACTACATTATGGCATCGATTGTCCCCAGCTTATGGAACAGCTTCACTTTGTGTGTGAATGCGCTCTAACTATAACTGCCATCAAAACATGTTTATTAGACTTATTTACGTAAAAATTCCTGGCTGTTCTTTAATTATTAGTAATCTTTAGGTAATTATCTGTTGATTTTTGATCTCACCTTGTATAGGGTCAACAGTAATTTATAGCTGTTTGTTGAGAGAGATCAATTTGATGATCCGCTAGCCGTTGGTCTATAATTGGGTTTTGACCAACTCATACACATAATAATAATAATATTATTAATAATAATATTAATAATAATAATAAAATATATAAATATACAAATTATACTGGGATCGCACAATACTTACAGACTTAAACATTACAGCTAACAGACCAGACATCATACTTATCAAAAAACACACGAACGAAGCCATTCTCATTGACATTGCTATTCCCAACACAAACAACATTATTCAAACATACGACACCAAGATTTCCAAATATCTACAATTATCGATAGAAATGAAATCCATGTTAAATCTTAAAAAAAATTCAATTCTACCCCTAGTTATCTCTAATGTAGGTGTAGTTCCAAATAGCTTAGTTGAGAATTTAAAGTCTTTGCACTTGAATGATTCAATAATTGTCAAAATTCAAAAAGCTGTTTTGTTAGGAACATGTCATATTGTTCGTAAGTTTCTTGAACAGTCTGATCAT